CAACTCAGAGGCAAGGAACCCTGAGTCAAAAAGTAAAAGATTATAAAAAAGGAGAAGATAGACATTTAAGAAGCTCAGTGAACCCGAGATAGAACAGATCCTAAAAGAAAAATACCAAGACATATCTTAATAAAATTTTCTAAAAGATAAAGAATATTTAAAGCAGTTTGGAAACAATGAAGAATTACTTACAAAAGGGAACCAAATAGCCTAAACTCCAGTTTCTCAATAGAAACCACTCATGCAAAAAAAGCAATGGGCAGACATACAGAACCCTGAAAGAAAAAAAACAAAAATGGCCTACCAAGAATTCTATGTATCTACCTCTGGCATGACATAACTCCTTTCCTTTTGTGTTCAGTGAAAGAATTAACAAAATTTTTTCTTTAAAAATCCTCCTTTCAAACTTTTACTCTTAAACATGTTGATAGAAAACATAATTTCTATTATCAGACTTGGGAAAGAGATAGGCTTGGGTAAAAGGAGGATGCAGAAAATAAAATTTGGATCAGTCAGATGATTAAGTTGTTATATATGTGGTTGGAATTGGAGTTGTCATAGAAGGATGAGACACTGTTCAGACACAGTTTGGAAGAAATAAGAGAAAGATTTATTAGAGGAAGAAAGAAAGAAATGAAGCCTAGACAAAAATAAATAAGACCAGGAGAAATGGATAGAGTAGGCTATTTAAAAGTGAAGATAGTTTTCTAATTGAAAAACACATTCTAATACGAAAACTTTTGCTAATGAAAAACTATTTTATCTTCACAATCTTTTTAAAACCAAATTCTGTGCATTTGTGGACCTTAAAAAACAAAACAAAAAATCCTAAAACAAAAAACTGAATTTAAAAACAGTATAAACAGCTCTGTGGACTACATGTAGAAATTCAGGGAATAGAGCTGGCATTTTCAAGTGTGATATGGACTCTTTTTCAGAAGTAGAGGTAACTAGAGAACATAAAGTGGCCCATTGATTGAAATCAGCGGCTAAGAAGGGACTCTTTTTATCCATTAAGAAAGTTTTAATAAAATGGAGAGTTAATACCTCAGTTTATTACTATGTGAAAACATGTGTATCCAGGGAGTTGGGAATGTATTTGACTGTTGTGTAATAGTGCCTCAGACCTGTTGCTGTCTTGGTGACAGACATGTCACTAAAATATACCATGGGCTTAGAGCACAAAACCATTAACATATAATAATCTGCTCTAGTGGGCCTACTTAGAGGTAGCTGTTAGAGTGCAATCCCCAGATTAAATTCTCTTCCTAAGTGTCTTTGAATAGAATTTTACAGGGACAGTATTACTGACAGTATTTGTTTTAATATATAGAGAACTCTGTAAGCCTAAGAAATGTTAAAGAAATGCACTGAGACATCTTACGCAAAATAGAGTAACAAGCAATGTTTTCATGCATGTAAAAAAAAAAAAAAAGCCTTTTCCTTACTTTGAACCATTGTATGTTTCTAGTAGCATAGGTAGTGAGATACTGTGGCTCCAGGGATAAGTACAGGTCAGGAGGAAATAAAATCAATGTGAGGCAGTACTTCCCATTGCAGGTAAGTTCTGTCCACTAAAATGTCAAACAAGAATAACAATATGAAATAAAAAGACAAAAATTGGAATGTTTCTACTCAGGCAAAATAAAATACAAAATAATGCAACAATGTGAGATATGAAAAGTTCTTTAAATTAGCTTGGAACCAATCATGGTTGTTCCGACCATGGGCACATAGACCGTTACTGGATAGAAGGGGAGAAAAAATTAGGATAAGCTTCAGAATTCCTAAAAATGCCCAGACTTAACTGGGCAGAAGAATGAAAAAATCCTCTAAACTTATCACCCTGATTTACCTTTTAAACTTAGACCTAATGCCACTCCTAGAATTCACTTCTCGGCCAAATAGTAGATTGGTTTATAAAGTAAGTATGGCTATGAGTATGGTGTTCCTTTAAATAAAGAGACAAAGCTGGGAATGCAGGGGGCAGCAGGAAAGATAGACCAATGGAAACAACATCAGAATAGAAATAATGAGTACTGACACATTGTAAAAAGAGGTAACCTATGTCGCTAAATAATACATTGTTTTTATGTGCTGTCCAGTTGTCTGCAACTCATAGCAACACTATGTACAATAGCTCTGAACCCTGCCCTATCTGGCAATTTCATTGTCTCTGAGACACCTCCCTCCATAACCCCAGTGAGAGTCAATTAATTTCATCCAGAGTCTTCCTATTCTGTGCTATCTCTCCACCCCTCCAAGCATGATCCTCTTCTCCAAGGACTGGTCCTTCCGGCCACATGCCCAAAGTATGTTAGATGGAGTTTCAAAATCCTTGCCTCCAAGGAGCAGCCTGGTTTCAGTCTCTCCAGAACAGACCTATTTGTTCTCTTGGTAATACTCTACTCTAGGACCACAACTCCAAGGCATCACTTCTTCTATCATCTTTAGCCATTGCCCAGCTCTTTGATGCATAGCAAGTAATTGTGAAGACCATGGCTTGGATCAGGAACACCTTAACATCTAGACTGATATTGTTGCTCTTTAGTGCTCAATGGAGGTCCCTGACAGTAGATTTCCCCAATTCAGTTTCTTTTAATTTCCTGACTGCTGATGCCAAGAGTGTTGACTATGGAGCTAAGCAAACTAAAGCCGTTAACAGTCTCAATCTCTGCTCCATCTGTTACAGTGTTGTCAGTTGGTGTTTTCTTGATGTTAACCTTCAATCCATATTGAATACTGTACTCCTGGACCATCTGCAGCAAATATTTCAGACCCTCCTAGTTTCAGCAAGCAAAGTTGTGTCATCTGCATAGCACAGGTTGTTGATTAGTTTTTCTCCAATCCTGATGCCACAATCCTCATAGTCCAGCCTCTCAAATGATCTGTTCCACATATAGATTAAAAAGATATGGAGATAGGATACATTCCTGACGTACACCGTTCCCGATTTTGCCCACTGCCATCAGGTTGATCTCAGTGAGTCTCTAGAATTGACTCATTGGCAATGAGTCATGTCAGGATGGCTTAATAGAAAAGAATTGCATTCTCGTTTTTGTTCTGTATTAATTACGTCAAGCCTGTGGAAAAGGTGCACAGTACCTGGTTGAAGAAAGGAGAGTGTAAAGGGTTGATGATATTCTAGTGTTAGGATACTGTGAGAATAGTTTTGATCCTGTGAGCACCCGAAGGGATTTCTGCATTACAATTTAAGAAACCACAGCTCTTGTATGCACTTGATTATATTCAGGCTCAAACTTTTTTAGTAAAGAGTATTTCACCAGGAGCCTTATAATTAATTTTTTGTCATTAAAACAAAACAATTCTGAAAGTTCATTGCCATCCATTTGGAACTGACTCATAGCTGCCCCTCCAGCATAACAGCTTGTGGGTTCCAACTACAGAGAGGTAGCCCTTTTGGCTTAGCAGCACAACTCCTCCTTACAGAGCTCCTTCTTTGCCACCAGAGCTTCCTGTTCACTCACTCATTACCTTCAAGTTGGAGTCAACTCATATTTGACCCTTCAGTGGATTTTCAGAGGCTGTAAATCACGTGGGGAGAGATTGCCCATCTCTCTTGCAGAGCAGCTGGTGGCTTTGATCTACTTGTCTTTGGGTTAGCATTGCAACTCTTTATCCACTAGGCCATCAGAGCGCCTTATTAATAGGAGTATAATAACTAGTTGGGTCACTTAATGATTACAAGGTATTAGACAATTTTGCTTTTTAATAAGGTAGTACCAAATTCCCTACTTATGAATGATTATAAACCTATTAGTTTCACCATACTTCTTGTTTGGTGGTAGTTCTAGTTTTTCCTAATTGATAGGAGACAAATTTTTTTTTGTCATTTAGCTCCTTTGATAATTATGACATTTTATATTTTTCGTGATTTTACTTATTACATCTCTCTTAACAAGTGCTTTTGACTTTACCTACTTGATTTTTTGATGAGTTGTAAAATTAGATAAGAGCCTTATGTAATAAAGATTTTAAGCCTTTTTCCACATCCAGTATTGCTTTGACAAGTTTATATTTTTCCTTTGGTCATGCTATATTTTATACTCCTTGCTGTTCAGTCATTTTTGACCAAAATTTCACAAAATTTGTAAAAAATGTGTCAAAATTTTGACAGCGTTTCCAAGGCTGTAAATCTTTTATGAAAGCAGACTCCCACTTTTTCCTCTCCCGAATCACTTCGTGGTTTTGAACCTTTCAGGTAGAAGCAGCGCTTAATCACAGGGCCACTAGGGGTCCTTTTGCTATACTTTATGTATAAAATAATTTTGTTTTTAGGTTTATTTCTCAGTCTGGACTTACAGGAGACTGAGAAAGAGGTTGAACTAATTCTCTGCTGGCTTAGTGGTAAGGAGTTCCACTGCCAACCCACTGGCACACAGTTGGAATTTACGAGCTGCTCTGCAGGAGAAAGATGGGCAGTCTCCGCTCATGCGATTTAAGGTCTCTGAAAGCTCCCTGGAAGGTCAACTGTGAATCGGTTCCAGCTCTGTAGTACATAACAACTACCACCACTGTAAGAGTCTGTTGTTTAAAAAAAAAAAATAATAATAGTAATCTCTTGTTCATCTTTCTTATTTTACAACAATGTGAAAAGTTCTGGCTTACTCATCTTTACATGGTGCATTAAGTGTTGCAGTTGGGACTAAGAGCCGACTTTCCCAGGTCTCATTCACGCATCTCCTTCCCCTGCCATTTCTGTTACATACTTCAGTTAAGTTTGGAATGAAAATGAAGGAGTTAGTCTTTTGGTTGAAATTACCATTTTAAATTCTTAACATAGATCATGTACTCTGTAGGCATTTAATTATAGTACTATCATAGCTGTTATAGTCAGTGGAAAAAAATACTGTTTTGTGTTTATATTTTAAAATTTAGAACCACTCTGAGGATGCTTTTTTTTTTTTTTGAGGATGCGAAGTATTTTTACCTTTTTCCTTTAAAATTGACCATATTTTGACCATTATTTTGCCTAACAGGAAGCCAGCAGACCTGCAGAACTTGGCTCCAGGGACCCACCCACCATTTATAACTTTCAACAATGAAGTCAAAACGGATGTAAATAAGATTGAAGAATTTCTTGAAGAGGTCTTATGCCCTCCTAAGTGAGTATGAAACAGAATATACATGGAAAAATATTGACCTTTAGAGACTTTACTCCTGATGCCTCTTAAATTTTAAAAGATTTAACTTGCAATGACAGAGAGGCTTGTCTAAAGTTATTTATAATTTTGAATACATAGTTACTAGAATTGGCTTCCGGCTAGGCTAATAAGCTCTGTCTGTAAAAAGCTTGGGAAGCTGGCTAAGTTCTATGATCAGAGCAGGTTTGAGGACATAGGAATAGGTCAAGGGAGACACATCATTTGAGTGGTAAGGACCTAAACTGAGATTAAAGTTAAGAGAGGGGAAGGAATGGGAAAGCCAGGTTCATACTGAAGCCAGCTGCCAGAATGTGTAAACAGGAGTGTAGCTGCAGGCTATTTGGGAATGGATTCGCCTTTCAAAGATTAGGCAGCAGAATCCATTTAATTTAATTTCCAATGCTGAAGAAGCCCTGAGGGCATAGTGCATTAGATATTGCACTGTTAGTGAGAATGTCAGACAGAGGTTTGACTCCACCAGCTGAGAAGAATGGGCACTCTTCTTTACAAAGAAATGTGAATAAGGTTGTAGGAATTGAATTGGAAACGCAATGGAGATGGAGGGTCACTAGAGTCGGCACTTTTTCTGGTGCTCACTTCCAAGAGAACTGACTTCTCAGACTTAATCTTTAGGATTCAAAGTTTTGTATTTATTTTTTCTTTTCTCCTGAAAAGAAAGTTAACTAAAGCCTTAGTTAATGATTTTAAGTGTTCAAATAATTCTTACAGTGTGAGATTCTGTTGAGGAACCTAACAGAATTGTAAAGATACCTAAATGGTATGTATGTAGTTATACATCATATTGTGATCTATAGGTTCAAAACATTATTTGTTTTAGGCTTTTTGTTTTACTATCCTGAAAATGAAAAAGCTTTTAAAATCTTTCCCCTCTGATTTCTTGCTACTTAAAACATAAAAAAAATATGTCTGATCAAAACTAGTATGAGATACCATCTCACACCAGTAAGAATAACAAAATTTAACAGAACAGCAAACATCAAATGCTGGCGAGGTTGTGGAGAAACTGGAACCCTTATTCACTCTTGGTGGGAGTGTGAAATGGTGCAGATGGGAGTGTAAAATGATGCAGCCACTATGAAAGGCTGTATGGCGCTTTCTCAAAATGTTGCAAGTAGAAATAGCATTTGACCTAGCAATTCCACTACTGGGAATTTACACTGAAGACACCATAACTGCCACCCAAGCAGATGATACGTGCACACCCTATGTTTGTTGTGGCTTTATTCACAGTAGCAAAGAGCTGGAAACAACCCAAGTGCCCATCAATAAATGAATGGATAGAGAAGCTGTGGTATATTCACACAATGGAATACTGTGCAGCATTGAAAAACAAGAAACTCATAAAATATTATGCAAAGTGGATGACCCTGGAGGACATTATGCTGAGTGAAATATCTCAACCACAAAAGGACAAATATTGCATAGGGCCACTGTTGTAAAATGGGACTGACATCAGGGTTGAGGGAAGACAGAAAAGGAGAGGAGGAATGATGTATATTGCATTGAAACAGATGAGGGAGAGAACTGTTTAAAAGGGATATGTTGTTGTTATTATGTGCTGTCGAGTCGCTTGCGACTCATAGCGACCCTATGTACAACAGCCCTAAACCCTGCTCTGTCCTGTGCCAGTCGCACTGTCTCCAACACACCCATCCTGATTACCCCAGTCACGGAATCAATCCACCTCATAGAGGTCCTTCCTCTCCTGTGCTGTCCCTCTCCAAGGACCGGTCCCTCCTTAACTACATGTCCAAAGTATGTTAGAAGGAGCCTCAGAATCCTTGCCTCCAAGGAGCCACCCAGTTTAACCCTTTCCAGGATGAATCTGTTTGTTTTCCTTGCAGTCCATGGTACTCTCAATACTCTTCTCCAGCATCACAGCTCAAAGGCATCAATTCTCCTTCTGTCCTCCTTAGTCATTATCCAACTCTCTGATGCATAACAAGTGATAAGCAAAGACCATGGCCTGTATCAGACGCTCCTTAGTCTCCAGAGAGACACCATTGCTCTTCAGTACTTTGGAGAGGTCCCTAACAGCAGACTTTCCCATTGCAATTTGTCTTTTAATTTCCTGGCTACTGGTGCCAAGAGTGTTGACTGTGGAGCCAAGCAAACTAAAGCTGTGAACAATCTCCATTTCTTCACCATCCATCCTGATGCTGCCAATTGGCCCAGTGGTGAGAATCTTTGTTCTTGACATTGAGCCTCAATCCATACTGAAGGCTGCAGTCCTTGACCCTCTGCAGTAAGCGCTTCAGGTTCTCCTCAGTTTCAGCAAGTAGCATTGTGTCATCTGCATATCATTGTGTCATCTGCATATCACAGATTGTTGATAGATCTTCCACCAATCCTGGCGCCACACTTCTCCTCATAGAGCCCAGCCTCCCGGATAGTCTGTTCTGCATACAGGTTGAAGAGGGATATATGAATGGGTATTCTTGTCATTATAGAAGTCCAGAGTGAAGGTTGCTTAGTGGAGTGGACTTGGGGGGAGGGATTGCATAACAATGAAAGTGTTTTTCTTTTCAAGGAGAAGAGTGATTTGAGGGGGAGGGGGTGGGCAGGGAGAAAAGTGCAACAATGAATGACTGTAAACTGGAAACCCTAAGTCTCTGTAAACTTTCATTAAAATTAATTAAAAAAAAAATCTAGATAGATGAATTCCAGAAATGAGAATAGTGAGTTAGAGGGTTTTTAAATAACTCAGTTTTTATCCATGTATTTATTTATTTTGTTCATTCTGCAGTTTACAGAGCAACAAAGCACTGTGCATGTACTAGTGAATCAGGCAGGGTTCCTGCTCTCAGGAAGTGCAGTGAATTGTGAGAAAGTAAATGGAATCAGGAAAGGCTTTAGAGAAGAGCTTTAATTAACAAATGTAAAGGGTGGCATTTGTCAGAGGAACCAAAGAATGACAAACATTTTAGACAGGAGAAATATTTCAATAAATAATGATCTTGTGGAAGAACCTGAAGTGGGCAGAGTTGAGGGTTGGTAGGTAGGAAGTCTCTTAGAAGTATGAGTAACAGTGCATCTGTCTACAACTAGCCCATCTTCTGTTGAAAGCAGAACTGCCTTCTCTTTGACATCCTTTTGCTAAACTTAAAATTAATTTCCTTTTTTTTAAAAAAAATATTTTGGGTGAAAGTTTATGCTTCAAATTAGGTTCCCCTTTAATAACTTTTATATACATTATCTGTGCTTTGGGTTACACTGTCAGCATTCTCATCATGTCTGTACTGTTCCATTTGTCTAGCTTCTCTTCCCCTCCTAATTGCCTCATCTTTGTTTTTGTATAAAGTACCATTTGGTTGACCATTTGGTTTCGTATAGTTTCTTAAAGGGACACGTTATTTTTTTCCCTTCTCTTTTCAGATCACTAGAGGGTATGCACACATATCGTAAGTCAGTAGACTAATAAGATGTTCTTTATCAAGAAGCATGCTTGAATTGACACATTCAAAATAACATCTTTGTATCTCCGATTCTTAGTTGCTTAGCACTCCTTGGCTGCAGGATCTTTATTTTTCTTTTTTAAAAAATTTTTTCCTTTTTTAAAAAAGTCATTGTGCATTTTTTCCTCTCTCCTCCTTCCCCATTTCCCCTTGTAAAGCTATTAATTGTTCATTCCTTTTAGAATGTCTTTTCTTTCACCCACTCCAGTCCTAGGGTTTCCTATGAGCTTTTGGTGCAGTAAGCCTGGTGTGGCTTTATTTTTGTTTTCCCACAGGAATCCAAGTTTTGTTCTACATTTTTTTCTCAAATTCTATCCAGTGTCTTCTGTTGTGTTCCTGGTTGGAATAGTCAGTAGTGGTGGGCAGACATTGTCTAGTTCTGGTCTCAGATTTGAGGAGGTTGTGGTTCCTATGTGCTATTAGTCCCATGGACTATTTTCTTCTGTGAATCTTTGATATTTTTCATTCTCTTGTTCCATGCAAGTAGAGACCAATAGTTACATCTTACTCTTTGCAAGTGTTTAAGACATCAGACACTATTCGCCAAATTCAGATCTAGGAAATTAAATCTAGTGAACTATTATTTACCAATTTTGTTTCCAAAACTATTTGAATATGCCTAGGAACCTTCTGTAATTGTGCCCCTAAATTTTCATTTTCTTAAGCCTTTTTACTGCTGTATCATAAAAGTTTATCCTCTTCATTCCTTCCTGTGCTTCTCAGAACCTTAGACTTTTTGTATCTCTGTTTTTTAGGAGTCTAAAACCTTTGGGCATGTTGCCAGGAGGGTCCAGTCCTTGGAGAAGCACATCATACTTAGAAGGGTGGAGGGTCAGTGTAGGAGAAGATGATCCTGAATGAGACGGATTGACACAGTGACTGTTAGTATTGGATGCAAGTGTGTCAGAGACAGTGAGATTGGGTTGGGATAGGGCAGTGTTTAGGGATATTGTTCATAGGGTGGATATGAGTCCTAGTTAACTTGATGGCACACAACACCACCATCACCTTTTTTCAGTCTCTAATAAGTCATATTTCCGGACCAGTATTAATAAATTTATGGCTTGACTTTTCCTCTAGGATCTGTAGAATACCAATAAATCCAAACTTGGATCCTTAAATACATATGAAAACTTTATGTATGTCTATAAGGAACTGTTATGAACATACATACAGTTTAGTGGAAATAATTTTTTAAAGATTGTTGTATAATCCCTTTTTATTCATAAGACTGTCTCAGGTACTCCTCACAGAAACTTTATGAAGAAATTAAAGGTGAATAAGTAATTTGTCCAAGTTGTCACAGTTAATGGTGGCAGAGTTAAAAGTACTTTCAAAGCCAGGCCAATATGACTTTAAAAATGTGTGTGTGTTTTGTATTATCTGCTTTCCGCTTTTCATTTTGTTGGGTTTGGCTTTTATAAAAAGGGGGAAATGTCATTCTTTGAGATTGGATTTCAATCAGCACAAAGTGGGGTGACGTCA